TTTTCATCTTTGCAGGAGGAGGGGTGGAACCAGAATCTCATTACCCTCAGTGGAAGAGAGTTAATCAAAGCATCGAGAGATACCCAGCACTCACTGATAGTATTGCAAAACTTCTTGAAGGTATATGGGCATTAACAAAATGATTTTGAAAGTGCTTGCACAAATGATTAAAAACTGCAGTTTGATAACTTTGTACTGCCCATGGAATGGCCACAGCACCTTTGGTGACACTTATCAGATGGCTAGGAATTCATCTGTTGGATAGCAACAGATAAATTGCTCATGCACAGACTATAAGGAGACTATCCACGGAATTAATCCCTATCCAGTGGATGGCACAGCACGTTTGGTAACACTTATCAGATGGCAAGCAATCTATCTGTTGGATAGCATTGTTTGCTTTGAACAACTGGGCCCTGGAGAAAGAAAGCACCAACTGTAATTCAAAAAAAATTGCTGTCAAAGAGTGAGATGCCTGTCATGGCATCATCTACAGGGGTGGAGAGGGTGGGGGGGGGGTTTGGATTAGCTCTCACTAAAAATTGAGAAAAAGTGAGATGCGAAGACATGCATTCCTTTATTCTGAGTGAGAATTTCCACTGTTAGTAAGTGTTTGAAGCAAGTGTAATGGAGGTAAGGAATAAATTATACCTAGAGGGAGAATTAATTTTATATAAATTGTGTACTTGACTAAAGTAGTAGTTTGCCAAATCTCAAAATCAATAGTTTAAATTAATAACCTCTGCTTTCTTGTATCTGGAGATTTAACATCATTGTAATGTTTGATAGGCTTGTAAAATTGTCAAATACTGTCCCTGATGAAAACAATGAATATAAAAACAGTCTAAATTTACATTTAGTCGCAAATTGATTCTAAATCACTGTCACTGGTGTGATTTCACGTTATTATGACAGATAACATCAGTTTTTAAACTGAGAAATAATTCTACTTGTATGAGTACTGTGTTTTAACAACATTGGAATCAATTTGGGTTTTCAGCCAGTATGGATCCAAACCTCAGCATGAACTCATGGCTGTCTAAACTGGAAGCAAGCTCATGGTTGGATTATGTTCAAAGTGTTTTATCTACAGCTTGTTTCATAGCACAATGCTTGGATACACAAGGTATAGTTTAACGTCACTCTTTTGGTTTGAAGCTGTAGAGAAAAAGTCTCACAAAATTAATATTTTTCAAAACCACATGCCTCATTGAAGAAGAATGATATTTCCACGATGTTAGCTGGGAATCTACCAAAAAACAAAGGCACTCTGAAGCGATTTCACAGTGTTCTAAGTTAACCCACCCTTCTCAGTTTCAAATAAAAACGATGTCATTGTTAATCTGTGTTTAGTTGTTACCAGTGTCTCTTTTTTATTTGCTTATTTATTTTTTGTTTTCTGATTTAGATAATGAAATTGGCACGGCCACTTTTTATTAGGCATGCAATTAGTGTCAATTAATTGTGTTTGCATGAGTGGTTCTTAACAGCCATTACTTGTGTCAAAGTATGTTGTAGGTCCGAAAGCTATTAAACATTTCAGTCACTGACCCATGCATTTGATTCGATTTCTTGTGTGTATGTGTGTGTGTGTTTTTTGTTTTATTAAGGAACRACTGTGTTGGTACATGGTGATGCTGGAACAGATGCGACATTACAAGTGACATCATTAGCACAGGTTCTGTTGGACCCTCACTGTAGAACGACAAAAGGGTTAGGAAAAACTTATACCTTATCAGTGAATTCAGTTTAATCATTTGCGTTATTAGACAATGCTGGCTCAGTTCAGCTTTAAAACTGGTTTAAATTTGGGCTTGTGTAAACAATGACAAGACCAGAACACAACACCGAAAGCTATTACTATTTTCGAGAAGTGCGTGTGTTCTTTAACGTCCCTTGCAATTGCTAACCAGTGCCGAGAAGATGCAGGAGACGGGGCCTGCGGTTTATCTTCTTATCCGAGAAGACTAGAATGTCTAACCATTTGTAGATGTCACACTAAAGGCAGTTCATTCTCCTCAATTATTTCAAGACCTTGAATGTTGGTCCGGTCTTGGCCTTAAACGATCGACCTCCCGCACAACATCATGACCCAACCAAGCGCGTTTCATAATTTATTTTAAACCGGGGTTTCTTCGCGCGAGCGACACATTCGTGCTAGATCCAATATCAAATTTTCAGGACTTACATCATGAGAACTGTGTGGCAGACAGAAAAGAGAATTACTTATGAGATCACGGAAGTGAAATTTCAGTGCAGATTTCAAACCACTTCCCGTGATCCCATACAGGTTTGAAGAGCTGATTGACAGAGAATGGCTGCGTGGAGGCCATCCATTCGCCGAGCGGTGCGTCAAAGTAGGCTTGTCTCCAAATAGGTACAAGGGACAGGGGCCAGTTTTTCTTCTCTTCTTGGACTGTGTTTGGCAGGTAAGAGTGTAAAATGATACTTTTTTTCAGCAATGTCTTTATATGGTACCATTGCTTTTACCACAATTGGTAGTAATGTCCTGATCTGATTGGCCAATCGGCCGTTGTTGATAAGAGTACAAACAACTATGATGAATATATGAAGTTCATATATTTTGAACTGCGGTTATAGATACGTATGATGCACGATCCTCGCAGTAGAGAGCGCTATTTACGCAATAGCGAAAATCAGACCTGAAAAAAATCAGGCCTGTACGGGATTCGAACCACTGACCTCTGCGATACTAGTGCAGCGCTCAACGAATTGAGCTGACAAGCCAACTGGGAGCAGGCCGCTAAGTTGATTCGTAATAAACCCGTGATGAATATCTCAGTGTCACGCACTGAAATATTCGTTTCATTTGACGTCGACATTCTGGTTAAAAAAAAACGCTAAACCACTGTCGATTTGTTCAGTTGGAAATTGCTCTTTTATTTCAGGAGATTAAGGCGATTGTCTAACTTCGTTTTTTTTTTGTCGTTGACTTGTAGATTTACCAGCAGTTTCCATGCTCTTTTGAATTCAATGACCGCTTTCTCATCGCTCTTTTTGAACACGCATATTCCTCACAATTCGGTAAGTAACCCCCGCTAACAGATAAAAACGAGTAAAACCTTTCCCTGCTTTGATATGTGATCTATTTTTGTATTTCGACACTCGACCACGTTGTTGTCGTTACAGGGACATTTTTGTGCAATAACGAGGGCGAGAGACAAGCAGCGAAGCTAAAATCCAAGACAATTTCGTTGTGGTAAGTGGCAAGTACGTTAAATAGTTATTTTTTGTGTATGCTAAATTTATTGTTGCATTTTTCTTACTATTCGTCATGTATGATTCTACATAAGTGGTGGATTTGTGGAAACTATGGTCGCCTAACAGCCTGCGCAGGGGGTTGAGGGGTCTGGGTTCGAGACCTGGCACGTCAGTGTGTTGTGTTCTTGGGCAAAGCACTTTATTACACCCACAATGCCTCTCTTTACCCAAGAGTTTAAATAGCTACCGCCTCGTGTGCCACGTTTTTTATTCTTACCATGTTTGACGTCAGCTGTTATCTTGTACTCCAGGTTGCAACTCCATGTTGCACTGCAATATGGGGTCTATTTGTTAAACTGATGTCGTTAAATATCCATCTTCCCCTTCTTCCCTCTCTACAGGTCACATCTGAACCAAGCAGATATCCTGAAGCCTCTGTTAAATCCTATGTACGAAGCAAACAGCTCTGTTCTTTGGCCGTCTGTAGCGTCTCAAAGTCTTGTAAGTTCATAGATGCTCGGAAGTTATCACGTTAAGGGAGATGTATCCTTCTGAAAGTGTGGAATCTTTATCTCGGCCTTTGAAAATTATATAAGAAAATTTACTCTGTAACGCATTTTCAGATTGAAAAGTGTATCTTAAAAATTATTTTCAATATGCCTTGATTTGACCATGGACACCACCAAAATATGGTAAAATTGCTTATATGCGATCCTTTCTCTACAGGTTCTGTGGCCAGGTTTATTTCTAAAATGGAGAGAATGTAACAAGAGTGAAGATATATTATGGGAAGAAGTACGAAGAATACAAGCGATTAACGTCGACTTGAAAAGCAAGGCTATATCGCTCAGAAGGTAACTCGAAAACTGGTCTAGAAAACTCACACCAATTTTTCAACCAATCAAGTGCAGAGCGCGACATGGTCTCTCGCCCTTCTCGCGCTTTAGGCCGTTCGCTTGCTTGGATTCTGATTTCTCATTAGCTTTTGGTAATAATTATGTTTTCCTTTGTTCTGATTGACCACTGCGATTACTTTCTGTTCGGGTTTACGAAACTCATTTAGAAAGGTGCTTTAAAATGGAATCCTAGAACATGAAAGAATTTTTTTTGAAAACGAAAATTACTGACTTCTTTAGCCGGTTCCCGTGACATAGGATTAGAGAAGGTTACCGTGACGTGTCTGGAAAACGCGGGAGAATTTTTGTGGGTTGAAGCAATACCGAGGTGGATTTTTTGTTTCTGGATAAACTTGAAACCTTAATCACTTCGAACACGGCTACTGGTTAGTTAGGCTAAAGTTTTCTAGGTTATGGTGAGCGACTTTCATTCGCTGATGGACACTTACCTTTTCGATGTGGTAATTATTTCTTCGATCTCCATTGTACAGTTTTTGTCTTGCTTGTGTAGAGAATATGCCGAACTTCAAGCTAAAGTGCTAGGGGAGAAAAGAAAATGGCAAGAAGAGCAAGATAAAAGAGAGAACCAAGGCTCTTGAGGAACGAAGCGGCTTAAGTGTGGTCAGCTTCATCTCGTACGCCCTTAGTTAGGAATGTGAAAGAAGATGTATGGATAAGTACTGCCATCCTCTAGGGCATTAGGGGAGACATGTAAATTGACCTTTCTCTCCGAGGTGTGACCAAGTAATAGTTTCTCGTAGCAAAATTAATACCCTGTTTACGAGACAGGTGTCTGGAATGAAGTAGTAGTATCAACTTGAGACGCACTTGGTTTAACACCAGTTGTCATAACTATAACATTAAAAATAATTAGATATGGCGGGCAATAATGACAATTACTGTTCAGATCATAGAAGTGGGAAGGGTTAGAAAGGATTGAAATGAAAACGTGTAAGTAGGAAAGATTAGGATTAGACCAGTGGATAAGCAGATCAGAAATATCGTGCGCACAGACGATTTTTATTCACAAAGTTGCGATGCATCAAAAAAACAAACGGGTGAGCGTAGTGAAAGAGTGAGTTTTTGATGCATCGTAACGGGTGAATGAAAATTGTTTAAGCACTTCCATGGCTTGATGTTTTTATTTCATACATACTGAGATTTTTTTTCTTACTGACCGACACATTTCAAAGATTGGAAGCGGACGACTCCGAAAATAAATCGTTCGTCTAATCAGAATACTTTATGATAGTGCTTCACTGTAAATCTCAGTATGTAAGAAATAAGATAAGTTCTCTATGTTGGTATTCAAGGTAGATCGGTATCGCGGCTGTAGTTAGCTACAACAACAAGTACAGGAACAACGACAATCTTTTTTCTTTGCGCTCCTTACATTTGGCAAATTATAGGAGGGTTTACGATAAATAAACAAACAAAAAAAATTATGTCAATTAAGATAATACTATAAGAAAATTCAAGACCTGACCTGGGAATTCCGCGTCAAATTGCGCGCGAAAACCGATATCGCACGAATCGCGAAGCAATGAGTTTGATATCGGTTTTCAAATGAGCATCATTATTGTTAAGGTAATGAACACGCCTTACAAATGAAGGGACTTATAATGAGAAAGAGAATCCTTGGAAATGCATTTAGGAATTTTTCTTTGCTTTACTATGCCGCGGGGCCTTTTTTCGCTGATTATGAGAAGTATGAACTCTGCATTGGTTTGTGGATACGAGCGATGCGAAAAAGCCATTTTGTGCGATGACCCGATTACAAAAGACCTTGAACGTTTTGTAAACGTATTCTGAGAAATGATGCACAGAGTTCAAATCCCAACCTTCCAATATAATCAATGATTTGATCGAGCGATTTTTGGCTTTTAACTATTGGGCTCGAGATGGGAATACCTTTTTACACTTGGCTGTATGGTAGAAGACCCTAAGTATGGTGACGTCGAAAGAAGATTGCGGAGATTATGCCATGTGTTGAGACTATGAAGCTCATCATCGATGCTGGTGGACTTGTCACTTCTGTGAATAACGGAATAACTTGACAGCAAGTTATAAACCCAGCCCTGAAGGCCTGTATATGCTACGAGAGGTTTTAGAGGTCTTGTTTGATGAAGGTATGATTAGCAAAGACAGGAAAACAGCCATGGATGTAGCTCAAACAGATGAGGCACGCTTAATAGCATCCGAAGAACCAGACTAGAGTTAAAATGCATCGCCGCCAGAGCTGTACGAAAGTTTGGCTTGTCACATGTTGGCTTAATACTTAAAGATGTTGAAAATTAATCATTTCCCACAGAGAGAAACAATGAGCGAGGACCTCCCTCCTTGCTTGCATAGGTTTTCGAATGCATCGATTTATTGTCTAGAGACAGGTACGCATGATCACAATGACGCTAGCACTTCTGCTTAAATTTGACAATTTTCAAAGATATATTTATTTAATCATTTATTTATTTAGTAGATAATTAAACAGGGCATCACATTTAGCATAGCTAGTTTAAAGAGAGCCCTGCGAGACAAAATTTGACAGTACAAAGCCACATAAAATTGACAGACAAAAAGTAAAACTCACTGAACAAAATATATACGAAGTCTACATAAACTAATTAGATCTGTTCAAATAATCGCTTACACTCAGTTTTAAAAGTTTCAAGGCTTTCTAGCGATCTTATTGCTTTGGGCAGATAATTAAAAGTGCACCCACCATTACATCTAGAACTGCCCTGATATTTAGTACTTTTGGCCAAAGGAAGACGAATCAAATCCCTATGCCTGGTATTCATGTATGATAATGTATGATATTTCTTAGCTTGAGTAAAATCACTTAATAAGTAGGAAGCTAAGATGCTAAACCGTTCAAAGATTTGAAGACCAGCAAGCATTTAAGATAATCTCTACGAGACTGAAGGCTTGGCCAACCAAGAATACGAACAATATGTTTCACTCACAGCCCTATTAAAGATGATGCTCGCCGCACGCCTATATAGCTTATCAAGGTACCCTTTAGATACAGCCCCACACTATCCCATGCAACTGAGCAATAGTAAAAAAGGGGAGTATCATTGCTTGGTAGAAAATGATACAGGATGACCGACGCAAGATTTTTCGTGCTCTACGCAACATCTTGACGAGATGTTCTTTCCCAAGTAATTAACGTGGGACTTCCAAGAAAGTGTTGGATCCATAAAAACCCCTAGATATTTAAAATTTTCTAATCTCTTTAAGTCACGGCCGTTATATGATATTTATTTATTTATTTATCAACCATATTTTAGCAGAGATGCCCAGCTCAGCATATGCTGGTTTAAATGGGGCTCTGCAAACCCACCCATCCCACCCCAGGGGAGGACATCCATCACACAGTAATCTCGTGTGTGGGAATCAACGTCTCCTACCCCCAACCCTGCAGGAGACGGGACCTCCGTTTATTCGTCCCTGTCCGAGAAGACTAGAATATCTAACCATCTCTTGATGTTATAGGAAGGTGGCATATTCTTCTCAATTATTTTAAGACCTTGAGTGTTTGTCCGGCCGGGACTCGAACCCTTGACCTCCCGCACAACTGTCTAGTGCTCTATCCATNACATCAATTCAGCATTCCTGACTCCAATGCAGAGTTTTGAACCTCTTACCCATAATCCTTTTGATCCACCACAAACCAACGACGAAAGTCATGCCGTAAATACGATATCGGAGTTTTCAACCTTTATGAAACTGTCCGCACTCAACCCCTCCAAAGCACAAGGGCCAGACGGCATCCCGGTATGGTTATTAAAAGAAAACGCTGATCTCTTGGCGGGACCAGTCTCTGTGATCCTTAACTCCTCGTTCCACGAATCCCGCCTTCCGCCTTCCTGGAAAGAGGCTGACGTAGTCCCGGTCCCAAAACAAAGGCCCATTAATGATATTAACAAGCACCTCCGTCCCATCTCTCTCACGCCTATCTTGTCCAAACTCGCTGAAGACCACATCGTTGAGAAATATGTTAAACCAGCCGTGTTACGGAGTATCGACCCTCGCCAATTCGGATCTATTCCCAAATCGTCTACCACACATGCTCTGGTCAACATGACGCATAATTGGCTTGTTAACACCGACGGAAATGGTGCCACGGCAAGAGTAGCCCTACTTGACTTCCGTAAGGCTTTTGACCTTATCGACCATAGTGTTCTCGTTCAAAAACTAGCAACATATGATATTCCGAGTCAAACCAAAAGCTGGATTGTCGACTTTTTGATGGACCGGAAACAAAGAGTTAAACTTGCTCAAGATTGTCACTCTGAATGGCGCTCTGTACCATCCGGCGTCCCCCAGGGAACAAAATTAGTACCCTGGTTATTTCTCATTATGATTAATGATTTGGACACCCCAGCTGACTTGTGGAAATACGTGGAAGACACATCTTGTTCCGAAATAGTTACTAAGGGCAGCGAGAGCAAACTCCAGGAAACTGTGGATGACCTTTCAAGACAAGCGAGTATCGATTGGTTCCAACTGAATGAGGCCAAGTGCAAAGAACTACGAATTGGATTCTCCAACAGCAACTACGATTTTAAACCCCTGGTCCTAAATGGCAAACCCCTTGAATTAGTCACCAGTGCCAAATTGCTTGGTGTGACTATTAGTCACGAGTTAAAGTGGAACATGCACACCTCTGAACTCAGTAAAAAATGTTCCTCTCGTCTCTACTTTTTGAGACAACCCAAGAGATCCGGAGTTGCACCAAGGGAACTTGTGCAATTCTATGTGACATTTATTATCCACCGTTCTCTACCAAACTACATCAGCGAAGATTTGGAACGGATCCAAAGAAGGGCACTCAGAATCATCTATCCTGACCTGTCATATAGTGTAGCACTAGAAAAAGCTGTCCTACCGAAACTTTACGAGAGGAGAGAAAATATTTCAACCAATCTGTTTGACGAGATAGTCCATAACCCTACCCATTGACTCCACAGCCTCCTCCTCCAAAGGAAGAGTTGTAGATACGCACTGAGGCGCAAAAGTGATTTCACTCTCCTCATATGCAAAACCGAGCGCTTGAAAAACAGTTTTATTTTTAGCCATATTTATAAGATGTAGATAATTGTCCTTCTTTCTTAATGACGAAGTTGTCATATTTTATACTTCCTTTTTTACCATCTGTATTTGTAAATATTCCGTAATTCAGCCTATGGCTGCAAGGTGTTTATAATAAAGTATCTATCTAAAATTGTCGTAACATCTAAAAACATCTAAGATGTCACTAGCCACTTGGCTAGTAAGTTGAAAAGTTAGTGTCGAGCCCTGCAAAAACTTTGAGAAAGATTAGTTAAGTACGAGAAAAACTATTGTCTGGCAGAGGCAGAAAAACCAAAAAGACTGCACTAACTTGTCTGAAAGAAGGTTCTGGTCGAGTGTGTCAAAAGCCTTGCTAAGATCTAAGAATATTAGTCCAGTCAACAATCCTTTATCGATATTCTGTAAAACGGTGTTAGTTACATGTGTCAACCATGTTGAAGTGCTGTGGAGAGGGCGAAAGCCAGGCTGTGATGGAGACAGCAAGTTGTTGAGCTGTAGATGGTCATAAACCATTTTGTGCATGTACCCCTCTATCAAGGATCTTGCAGAATACAGGTAGAACAGATATGGGCCTGTAGTTAGGTGGATCACTTTTAATACCAGCCTTATGTACGGGTGTTACAAGGGCGTGCTTCCATTTATCTGGTACATAGCCTTCACGTAAAGATCTGTTCACAAGCCAGGTAAGGGCTCAGATATTGCATCTGAGCCATCCTTTAGAAGTCGTGCTGGTAATCCTGGGATTCCTGTTAATTTTTTTACTTTTGAGGACTTTAAATGCTTTTTAACACAATCTGACTCAATCTGAGAGAGCTTGAACGATGGTGGCAATCTTGTTTGAGCTGGGATACTATAGCTACTAACTCGCAATAAATCCTCTCTTAGATTTCCAATGATGGTTTAAAAAATGAAGCCAGATGAGAAGATAGCGTCTTGGGTTCTGTGATATGATTCCCGTCGACAACAAGACACGTGTCGATCTGACTTGAACGAGTGCCATATAAAGTAGCTGATTTCATGGCGTTCCAAAGTTTTCCTGAATTGTTTTTGTTTTCCTCAATCAAATTGGTATAGTAGTTACGTTTAGCATTACGAATCTGAGATATTACTTTAATTCTGATAGCTCTGTAAGTAGCCCAATCATCGCAAGATCTAGATTTTTGTGCCCTCTTGTGGTGAAAATTTCTCTCCCAATCAGATTTTTGCTGCCTTCATTTAACTGTGGAAGGGTAGAAGATCAAATTCTCATTGTCATGAAGGGGGGGGGGCGTGTTTCTCCGCTATTTCCATAAAGGTTCTTTTGAAGGCCATCCAAGCATGATTTACTGTGAGGGAGGTGTCCATGTTTTCCCAAGAGGCAGAGTGCAGATCATCAGCAAAATTTTGAGAAGAATAGTTATTAAAGCGTCTACATCGCACAGTCTTTATTTCTCCTCTGGGAATTTTCGCTCATCGGACAATGTAAACAAGTTGGTGATCACTAATAGAACAGTTTAAAACGTCAGAAGTAACAATTTTGTCAGCGTTGGTTATAAATGCTACGTCAGTTTAAGTTTTTGATGTTTCAGTGATTCAATAAGTTGGGAAAATTGATAGATGTTAAACAACTTGATGACTTCTTTTGTATCGTGAGGCAGTTTCTTTGGAGATAGATCGTAGTTTAAGTCTCCTAGCAGTAATATTTCATCGCCTTTGCTTGATGCGACGTCAAAAGTTTTCTCCAGATTAGGTACAAAGCTGTTCAGATCAACGTTAGGCGGTCTGTATAGTGAAGATACTAGTAGTTTACTTTTATTGAGGAAATTGATCTCGATCCAGACAGTTTCAAGCCTGTGTCTACACAGGCGAGGGCAAACATTAAACTTTGATTTGTAATATATTGCTACTCCGCCGCCTCTCTGTTCATCTGGTCGATCATTCCTTACCAAATTATAGCCGTCAGTGGCAAGTTTATTGTCGGTCCAAGAGCTGTTGTGCCGGCCATGTTTCATTCAGGCAAATAATATCTAAGGGATGGTCCAGAAGTAAGATCTTTAGTTCGTCTAGATGTCTAGGTAGGCTCCTGATGTTTAAACTGTGCAGTTTTGAGGCCCGGTTTCTGTAGAAACGTTGGTACATCACTCGTATAATAAGAAAGTCTGGGGTTAGTCATCACATCGTCTGATAGTAAAACCAAATAAGCGGCCAAGAGAGCAATTTTCCCAAGATTTATAGCTGTCAGGCATTTTGCAGATGGCGCGATTCTTGTTCGTTTCACGTACTTTCTTGAAATGCAAGAATTTCGGGCTGGAAAGTGCTTGATATTGAGAGCACTTGCAATGAAAACATTGACTAACCTACTATCTTGGTCTTTAGCTGGTTTATTATAGCAAAGGATTATAAATAAAGCAAGCCAGGCCATACATTTGGGAGAAAGCAAAATGCTTCTCCTTCCCGCCATATTTAATATATTAAATATGAAACCTCCCTGTAATTTGGAAACGCGAAAAATCCAAAGATTTTTACATAAAAACTTGAAATGTCCACTAGTTAATCGTCTCTGAATTTGTTTTTTCAGAATTGTCACACAGGAAGATCGTCAAATTCGCGATTTTCTTTTGACAA